TTCCCTTCCGGGGAGACCCTGACGTGCTTCGCGGGGTGGGGCAGTGGGCCCCCCCCCTCCCCTTTGGGGGGGGTGTTTTTCCCCCCACGACCTTATCCAACCCGGGGGGGGGGGGGGGGGTCGTATATACGGTGTTGCTTGCATGCTAAAACAAAGACTCGATATTGACCACTCTGCCGTCTGCTAGGACCGCGGTTGCCGCATATAACAAAGACTCTACATATATTGACCACGCTTTCGCTTTCGGCAAGGAACGCGGTTATGCATGCCTCTCAAAAGGGAAAGCGAAACCATGATTTTGGAGAAAATTGCAAGCGTTTGGTTGGTCCGGGCGAAGATTCTTGACTGCTGTGAGTACGGGGATTGGCGTGGAAAGACTGGCCATTAAGCGACATGCAGGGTTATTTTCTCCGTGTCTACGATACAATGGAGCAGATGCTGGGGACGATTTGGGGGGACACGGGGAAAACGATCACGCCTGCCCGACATCATGGAAAAAACAAATGAAAAATGGGGTGCTAAACAGGGGTTTCCAACACTGGTCGTGGTTCTCGATGTAGCAAGTACACGCAGCAGCAACCCGCTTTGAACGCCGCTTTTTTTTTGGTAAGCCCAATCCGCCGAAACCGGAGGGACATGGTAAAAAAGTTTGGCTTTGGAATTTATCACTTCCCAGCATTTCAGTAACACCCAGGGGCATGGGGTTCGCCCCCCCCCCCCATAACATTTTGAACTGCCACTTTTTCGAATCCAAGACCTTGAAACAGCAGCACAGTGGTGGTTCCGATTAAAGAGGGTGGTGTGACAAAGGCCCTCGACCCTTTTTATTTGGGAGCCCCCTCCGGAATAAGAAGGCACCATTATTTATGTTTTTGCTATGTCACAGCGGGTGGAGTCCGTGACAACCGATGTCGACCTTCTGATATGGGAGCCCCCTCTTGTAAGGTACCCTATTACTACCGAGCCACGACTGCTTGTATTACGAACACGTGTATGCATAGCCACGAGCACCCCCCCCCCCCGAAAAATAACGCCTCCAGCGACAGGCCACGCGCCGCCGCTACCGCACACCCACCTTCCCATCCTCCCCGCCCGTGGCGAACGAGTTCTCCAGCCGCGGGTTGAACGAGCACGACGTCGGCGTCGCCGCCCCCGTCTGCGGGAACAGGTGCACGCACCCGAGGCGGGCCGGGTGCCACAGCCGGAGGCTGCCGTCCCGGCCTGCCGACAGGAGAAAGGCGTTCAGGGACCAGGAGAGGTCCACCACGTCCCCGTTGTGGCCGCGCATGACGCGGGACGCTCGCCCTCCGACCACCAGCTCTCCCCTCCGGAGAGGGGGCACGGGATCTGACGGCCACAAAAACAAAACGAAACGGGTGGGGTTAATTAAGTCATCGAACTCATGTTTACGGGGGAGGGGGGGGGTGTTACTCGTGTATAGCAGACTCCAGCACGAGCATACCACAGCTACTTATCTCCCTTCTCCCCCCCCTCTCTCTCGTCCACGTTGACAAAAAAAAGTACCCCAACGGTCACACTAGACTCCAGCAATCACAGCTACTTCTCTCGTTCACCTTGACGGGAAAAAAAATAGTACCCGAACCGCCACATAAGACTCCACCATTTCACCGCTAATACTTCTCCTTCCTCTCCCTCACCTTGACAGTCAAAGGTGCTCCCGGCCGCCGACGGAGCGACAGAGGCGATAGAAACCACCGAGGTCACCGAAGCAAGCGACACGTCGCTGTCCGACCTCTCCAGGCGCCCCGTGAACCGCGCACCCGCCGCCGCCGGCGGGGGCGGCCTGCTGCTCAGCGAACCTAGATCGCCGCCTCCGCCTCCGCCTCCGCCGCTGCTGTCAAGCGCTCGCGACCCGTCCTCTTCGACGCCGATGTCCCAGATCTGAAAGCAGAGGGGGGGGTGCGTTGAGACAGTCACGACTCCTGTGCGCCATTTTTCATTTATAATTTTCTCATACTTGAAAACTACTTCAACATATTCCATCTCCTCCGCACACGAAAAATACTTCTTTCACCTATAATTTTCCCACACTTCAAATACAACATATCCATTTCATCCATTCCTCCACACATGATGAGAGTCTGAGATAGACTATCAAGTGAACTCGTCGCGGTCAGCGGAAGCGCGACCTCTGTACTCTCTTATTATTTTTATCGCAATGAGCAGACTGACCACGCGCATTGCGTAGGTGTCTGCGGATGCTCAACACAACCCTCCCACGCAAGCGTCCTGGTTGCGTCTGTGAATAGACCGACCTGCCTGAAGCGACACGCCCTCCCCACGATTCCACGATTTGAGGTGTGTGCGCAAGACACATCGTGCTTAGAGATGGCCAGTCCGTCAGGAGTTATTGTTTTTCGAAATCCCGAAAGAAGCGGCTGCTCTCCCACGCACAAGCGTCAAGGCACACACGGCGAGAGGCGGAGAGATGGCGCCAACACCCCCGACTAGGCCGATTTCCAAAGCCCGATTGCTCCACAACCACCACCGTACCAACATCAAAAGTGGTGGTCTTGGAAGCATCATGTCAAGGGCTTTCCGCAGACGCACAGGGCTCTTTACGCACCCACGTGGAGCAATCGAGCTTTGACAATCGGCGTAGGGGGGATGCGCCATCTCTCCGTCTCTTGCGGTACATGGCCTTGCCAAGCATCCGTTATTTTCATCACAAGCCCATCTACAGCAGTAGCCTGCCTGACTTTCGCCAATCAAGCGAGAGCCGCATCTCTCTCTCTCGACGCAATTTATCTAGCCCGAGGGGAAAAGCTGCCGGTCGCGGTGTGACCTCAACCGGTCACGAAGGACGAAAAAGCTACCCATACCAGTGTTCGAATCCAAGACTGCGCTGAAGCAGTGCGTCTGTGCACCACCGACATAGTTTCACTCAGGCTATCTATCCCGCCCCACTCAAACCGGGGCACACGCCCCCATCTATACCATACCAGTTGCAAGCAAACTCGTTCCACTCCATTTAACGTGAACCAATGCATCATCCTCCACGTGCCTCCGCCGTTACCGTTGCCATTCGTTCGCGCAGCAGCAAGCACGACCCCACGCGGGACTTCCCCCCTCTCATATACAAGTACAGACGCTTTCCGCCGTAGGTGGGGAAGCATCATATTCGCGGACATGGCGAAAGATACAAATTCGCGGAATTAATGTGTTGCTTGTCACCAGGGGTGTGACGGACAACATCATCATTCTCGAGTACAGTAGCAGGACTCCGGACCAAACGATTATCCGAAGCATGTTCATTTCATCCCGCTCCGCCGCAGGCCGACCATCCTATCATCTCCCCCTTACCTTTACCAGCCCATCCGCTCCGCCCGTGGCCAGGTACTGCCCCTTCCTGCTGAACTCTGCGCACCACACCGCGCCGACGTGGGCCTTGAAGTGCTGCAGCATCTTCATGCCCTTGATCGCCTCCATCGCCTCCACCGCCTCCGCCTCGGCCACCGCCCCGCTCTCCGGCGACAAGCCCCTGCTCGTCGGGGACGCAAAACCGTTGCCGCCGCCTCCCGGACGCCCGTTCGCGGCGGCGGCGAGCGCCTGGTAGCCCGGGGACAGCTGTAGCTCCCCGACGGGCCTGGTCTCGTGGTGCGCCTCGTGCTGCGGGATCACGATCTGCTTCTGCGACGGAGGGATGATCCCGAGGTACAGCGGGTCCTCCTCTTCGCCGTCGTCGCCGCTCTTCGCCGCAACGGTGGCGGCGGCCGTTGCCGCCGCCGCCGCCGCCGCGGCCGCGGCGAGCCCCCCGCCG